AGTGTCACAGCTCCTGAGCAGGCAGATGGGAGGGTGATGTGTCATTTGCACTCAGTGCCCTTAACGAGAGCAGTAGGAGCGGATCCTGAAGACAAAGTCCTTTGTTGGCAGGGATCGACGTTTGGCCCCAGGGAGGAGAGCAGAGATGGTAGTAGGGCCACATGATCACTGAGACATTTGCATGAGAGGAAGAGGAAAGTTGGGATGATAATGGGGAGAGACTAATTAATAGTGTAAGTCCTAAGAAGGCTGGGGGGATGGGATACAAGACAGAGGCCCTTCACCTCTGGTAGAGGAACAGAGCTTCCCTGAGTTGTGATGGGGGGACGGAAGATACAGAGGAATGCCCAGGTGGGCTTGATGTGGGTGCAGGTGGTACGCAGGTTTTGGTCTTAGAAAGATAAAAGAATTCCTACTTAAGGCTTCAGTTTTCCCTCTGAACTGGGAGATGAGGTTGTCTGTTGAAATTTGTGAGTTAAGAAGGGGAAAGATGGTTATGAGGAACATAAGCAGTGTTGGCATAGTCATTGGAGGGAGTGGGGAAAAGCCGTCCGCTGCCAGGCTTGTAGGAGGAGGGCAGTGTCCATTGCAGCTGAGGGAGGTACAGTCAGCATAAAGGTAGACATCAGATACTTGAGAAGAAAAACCCTTTTTGCTGTTTAATTTGACACATTTATTGAATTCCTACCTACTGCATGTGTTGGAAGATAGTTCTTGTACCCAGGGAGCTTAGAAACTTGCAGAACATTTATTACAAAAAAGAAGAGGTGACAACAGTCCTGAAACCTCAGAGATCAGATCTGATTGAAGAAGAGAGAGCTCTTTGGGTTTGGAAAAGACTTGAGTCAGCGTAGATGGGGGAGGGTGAGAAAAAGCTTTATACCGCTGTGTGGAGAGAAGAGTCAGAGTCCTTAGGTGCCATGTTAATGGATGGAATAGCGAATAGTGCAGTTTGTTCGGAATTATCCCTGAGTCAGTGTGTCTCCATGCAGTTTAAAAACATATCAGAGAAACTTACGATTTAAAGATTCTGTAAAAGCGTGTGACCCCCCCCCCCCGCCCCCGTACCACCCCAGGGGAGCTTCCGTGCATATCTGTTGTAAGGGAATGAATGACTAGTCGTCCATGTATGGCAGGCTCTGTTGCTGCCCTGTAAATTCCCAGTTTGGATCGGATGAATTTGTAGAGCTCATCAAGTGTAAGTGGTACTTTTCGATCCATTCAAGCTTTTTTTCTGTCTTGAAAATTTCAGATTGGAATCCAGGACTTGAAAAATGTCAGTTGTCTAAATACAGTACCATATTGTGATAAATATAGCTATTGAAATTAAAAAAAAAAACTCTTCACAAAACTTTATTTTAATATTCACAGCAGAACTTTTTGGGGAATGTTATCTGAGAAACAGGACCATTTTATTATCAGAGCTGACTATTAATTAGGGTATTGTTTCAGAAATAAAAGTTGATCTGCCACTGAAATTCTATTTGAATATGTATAGTTCCAAGCTTGCTTTGTGTATTTAATAACTTTAGTACCATAATTACTCTGTTTACAATTAAATTTTGGTGGATATGCTAATACAGAATATGGCAGTGAGTGATTTCAGCAAAGGGCAGTGCTGATTTGCATCTTGATGTGCTTTTCACTTGCATCTGCATTTCATTTAATATCACTGGGAAGAGAAATGGTCAGATTATGTAATGGATTTTGTGACAGTGAAGTTTTCCTTCTCTTTGAAACCTCCTGTAAGCTACCACGATAGTGGATTTGCTTAGTTCTGAGTGGGCAGATAGTGATGCCGAAGGGTTGAATCTGGTTGAGGTTTGTGCCCTCCAGCGTATTGTTTAGTAGGAACCTGATGTAGGTACGGGCTTCATCATTAGAAGGAACCTGTAATGTATTGAGGTGATTGTAGAATTCAAATTAGTGTTGTAAGTTCTTTAGGAAAGTCACTGAGGAACTGAGGCAAATGCTTATGGTTGTAAAACTTAATAGTTTTTGAGCAGGGGCGTCTGGTTTTAATACTTAAAACTTTTTTCTTTTCAGAAATCACCTGAGAAGGAACAAGGAGATTGAGAAACGCAGCTCTCATATTCTCTGAAACTAAGAGACTTCTGTGACCCTGAACCAGGAAACCAGAGGGGTGGCCAAACGCTGTGCCAGTCAAATGGGGGTGTGGCAGGATGTGGAAAGGGGATGCGCTTAGGGCTGAGACCCAGATCTTGGACCAAGCTGGTGACAGAGGGGTGTTCTTCAGAGCGAGAGGAACACAGCCGGTTGAGGCACAACCAGTAAGCCTTTGTTTAGAAGAACAGGAAATGGGTGTTGGCAGAACAACTTCATGTGAAAAAAAGAGAAAGAAAGAAAAAAATAATAACTGTGTATGAGCTTTTTTTGTCCTTAGTTTACTTAGGCCGTATAGTATTTTTAAGTTCCTCGAACCCTGTGGATCTCCCTAATATGCATGCGTGACCGAGGAAAAGAAAAGAAACTGGATAACCATTTGGAAAAATCCAGGATTCCTACCTCTGATTATCTTATACCAGTATAAGTGTAAACAAATCAAAATACCAGCAAAATATGAAATAAACTGCAAAATAACTAAACCGTAATAAACCGTACAATAACTAAAAGAAGACATGATATTTGCAAAGAATAATTTGGTTGGGGACTTTCCAAGGGTGACATAAAGTCCAAAAGCTAAAAATGAACAATATCAAAAGACAAACAGGGAAGACTATTTGCAGTATCAAGAGCCAGTTTCTTCACTAGAGAATACAAGAAGTGCCTATAAATAAAAAAGCAAAAGGCAACCCATAGTTCTTAAAAAATGAGGTACAGATTTTACTTAGGACTGCGTGGGTGTGTGTGTCTGTCTGATTGGACAAGCTCATAAAATATGAAAAGATTCTCAGTTTTGGTCCCTTGATAATTGTTAATTATAGGAACAGCAGTTTTTTAATGCTTAAAACCATGAAATAGTTCACGATACAGAAGACCTTATTAAGCAGATACAGACTTAATGAATTATAAGGTACTATTAGAACCACCACCCATGTCATGAAATAGAACCACTGGCCTGTCCCCATCACAACTTCTTATACTTCCTGAAAGTAACTTCTGTCTTTTATGGCAATCACTTCCTTTTCTTTATCAGTTTACCGCGCAAATGTGCGTCCCGAAACACCGTGGTACAGATTTGCCTGATTTTGTTTTGTTTTGGCTGTGTTCTTTCAACTCTTTCTGCATCTGGCTCTCTTCTCTCCCATCTCTTCTTTTTTTCCCTTTATCTGTTGAAGAAATGGGATTATATGTACTCTAGGGTTTCTCACCCTTGGGAATTTGCTGACTGCATTCCTGTGCTATAGTTTATCATGTTCTACTGTTCTTTTCATATCCTGTGAATCAGGACCAGGCTTGATCAGATTCGGAGTCTATTAATTTTTTATTTTTCTTTTTTGGCAAGATTACTTCATAGGTAATGGCGTGGTCTTTTATCAGGAGACGTATAATGTCTGGACATTTCTCATTTTTTTTTTTAAAGATTTTATTTATTTATTTGACAGACAGAGATCACAAGTAGGCAGAGAGCGAGGAGGAAGCAGGCTCCCCGCGGAGCAGAGAGCCCGATGCGGGACTCCATCCCAGGACTCTGGGATCATGACCTGAGCCGAAGGCAGAGGCTTTAACCCACTGAGCCACCCAGGCGCCCTGGACATTTCTCATATTTTGATGTTAGTAACTATCAGTGCTCAGTGTCTGGATCCATTAATTCATTAGGAGGTGGAAATGTGTTAACCTAAAACCATCCTTATTCATTTTTTAGCTGAAATTTTTCAGGAGATTTTTCTCTTCATCTAATATTTGGTTACGCAGTGGTACAATTCATGTAAGAAAGAGGGTAAATACTTGATTCTTTTCCCTCCTTCCTTTTTTCTTTTCTTTTTTTTTTTTTTTTTTTGAAAGCAGCTTTCAAAATTGAGTGTTTCCTGTTATTCTCTAGTGGTGACCACTTAGTTTTTCTGGCTATTACAAACTCTTGGATTTACTTCCATTTTATGTGTTTTAATCCATTTATCTTTATTGACTCAAAGTGGCCCATCTTTGGTCAGTGGAAACACCTAAGTTGGCTTCTTAGACTTATCTGACATCACTCTAGTAGTTTTTGATCGCTTCCTTGACACCTAGAAATGACAAGATGTTCCAGGTCTGTCTTGTACGTTTCTGGTTTCACATCTGGAATCAGTCCTCTCTTCAAAGAATCTGGTTTCTTTTACAAGAAACTGTAGTTTTAAGAATACAATTTGTATACTAGAGATACTCATTACTACTAGGTTGGTTATTTTTCCTAAGCTTTTTTTGTGGTTCGGGCTGGGAAATGGAAAGCGGTGTGTGTGTGCACGTGCGTGTGGTATGTTGTGCATGTGTGCTTTTTTAAAAGATTAAATAACTTCTGTATTAAAAATATTTCCGAATAAAGCATTTTCAGCTTTCACTCTTCTTTCATTTCTTTCCCCTTTCTTTTGTATTTGAATCTCGATTTCTAAGGACACAAGGGGGTGACTGAATTAAAATATCACGGAATTATTCACTTGCATTATTGCACAGATACGTGTACAGTAACCTTTGTTTACAAAACCAAGTATCACTTACGGTGTGATTATTGGAGAGTTGGGTTTTTTGGCATATGTTCTCCCGTTTTTTACCGTCGTACTGTATCTACTTTGTCAGAGCATATACCCATTATGTATTCTGTCCTCTTCTTACAGTCCTTGTTGAATCTCATTCTACAAATCAATGTCTGCTTACTGCTCACTACCAGTTCTTACGGTGACGTTTCTTCAGGCATTTCGGATATCTAAGGCTTGTTCTCTGATGGATTCTTAATTCTCTTTTTCTATGTTGAGAACGCTCTGGTCTTTATACTTGAAATTTGACTGCATATAAAATCTTCGATTCTTGTTTCCTTTGTCTTAACTGTGTTACTTCCCCTTTCTTTTCTGGCATAAGTGTCGCTGTCAGAGTGATGACAGTCTGATTTATTTTCCTTATAAAAGATCTGTTTTTGGCCTGGATGCTCAAAGAATACTTCTTTTCCATGGAGTTCTGTAATTTTATGAGGTGGTATCAGAGCGTGGGTTGTCCTGGGCTGATTTCTCTGTGTATGGTGTGAGATGTGAGCTTTCATTTTGTAGTTTTTCTTTTTTATTTTGTTTTTTAAGTTTAGGAAAGTCTTCTTAGATTAAAGCATTTTTAGTATTTTGTTCTCTTGCTTTGATTTTCTTTGTTATATGTTCACTGGCTTTTCTTTTTCTGCTTTCTGAATCTATGATTTTCTCTTGAAATGTTTATCTTTTTCACCCTTTTTGATTTTTAGAATTTTTTCCTTTTCACTTTCTATCTATTAAGTCACTGTGTTTCAATTGCCTTCAGTCTCATGTTCCTTCTAGTTTAGTTTTCATCTCTTAAATGATTGTGACTTTAGTTATTTCCTTCTACCGCTTAGTCTCTGAGTTTTTCTAATTCTGATCTGTTAATCTTTCTATATAAAAATTTTAAGTTTGTATTGAAATATTGGTTCAGAGCTCTCGACTTTTTGGCAAGCCTGTTTTATGTATTTTTCTGCAGGAACTTTTAAAAAAATTCAGTTTGCAGAGACTAGGTTTTGTTCCTTTTCTGTTGCTGAGTCCTTCAAGCAGTTATTTTTCTTTTATGTGCGATTAGTTCTAGATGGTATAGTTCAAGTTGACTTTATGTCATTTTCTAGAGCTTCCTCTTCTGTTTTGTTCTCGTGTAGGGTTCCAAAACACGGAGGCTGACTTGCCATATCTACCTTTGTATGTGAACCTTCTTTTTCCTTTCTTTGTATTATCTTTGTGATGCTCATTTTGGATTCCATTCCCAGCCCTTTCCCACCCACCCAGGGAGGTTTTGACCTGAGAGCTTTTCCACGGGTTGGTCCTGTGAGCTGTGGAGGCCAGCCTGCTCCAGCCCCTCCGGCAGAGCCCCACACAAGCTCATGGCTGGAGAACTCACGGCTGGAGTGCGCACGGCAATTCCCGGCTTCGGCTACTGCTCCCACGTTCTCTCTGTGCTTCTGAGAAGTGACTTGGGGTCACTCGGGGATTCTCAAACTCACCAGAGACACCGCTCTTGCTTCTGCTGCTTCCCTCACCGCTGCTGGTAGCACGTAGGTCATCTTGCATTAAGCGACCTCTTCACCCACTCCCATTTGGCGGTTTTGTAGGGAATAGTGTCGCCTAGTTTTGTTGTGGTTGCTGTCCACTGGGTTTGACTCCTGCTCTCCAGTTGTCCTGTTTGGCTTTACGGGGGAAGTCTAGGGAGATTAGACGTGTGCACAGCCAGCCCTACCGTCTTCAGTGGCAGCGAGACTTTGGACGCCGTGGTGTGTTCAGGGCTTCGGCAGACTCACAGTGACGGCTGACTCTTTGGGACTGCTTTCAGGAAGGAGGAAAAGTCATTCCAGACTGCATTAATTGTTACAAGTAGGCTGTAGGAATAAAACTCAGAGGAGTAAAAGCTAACCACTTAATTTGGAGGAAAAACACACTTTTTGTTGACTACAATTTATATTGAGTGGAAGGTGAGCTAGCATATTTCTTGAAATATGGTCACTTTGGGAAAGAAATTCCAGTAAAACCCAAAAGATAGTATGGTTACTCTCTTGAGTTACAGAAAGAGGAAAAGTTTTTTTTTTTTTTTTTTTAAACTCATTTTAAATTGTCTTAGCTTCTATAAGGAAATCATCAAATAGGAGATTACTCTGATGATTTGTTACAGTGGGGTAAATTCAGAAGGCATCCATTTTCGTATTTAGAAGTGCTATGCCTTGGTTTGTTCTTTTTTTTCTTTTTTTTTTTTCTTTTGGGTCTTGGTCATTTCTTGCGCTCAGTCTACAACCATAGCTATAAAACTCACCTTGTCTGGTGTATTGAGTCTGGTCTGTTGTGGTTTACACTGAAACTCCATTCAGGAAGATTTTACAGTGATTAAAAATACACATTAAGAGACCTGTTTGATAGGAAGAAATAATAGCCACACTCATTTATTTTGAAGATTTATTATTTATTATTTGTTAGAGAAGATTTCGACAATGAAGGAGGATTGGCATTCTATAGGAAAAATTAAATTTAAAAATCCCCAATAAGTTAATAAAGAGCATTTGCATGTATGGAGTTTATGTATGTGGTGTGATAATGCGTGGATATTTGCTAACAAAAATCTGCATCTAGTATTGTGTGTATGTACTTAGGGTATCCAGGCTCCAAAGCAAACCACCTTACATATTGTAAGTTGTCCGGTCTTAACAAACCTGTCTTTCACCTGAAGAGCCATTTCAGGTGTTGCAGACTGTAGCCTCTGAGAAAGTATTTGTTTCAAATTATTTATTTATTTGAGAGAGAAAGAGAGAGTGAGAGACAGCACGAGAGCGGGAAGGGGCAGAGGCACAGAGAGAAGCAGGCTCCCTCCTGAGCAGAGAGCCGGACGACCGCGGGCCTCCATCCCAGGACCCTGGGATTATGACCTGTGCCAAAGGCAGGTGCTTAATTGTCTGAGCCACCCAGGTGTCCTCGAGAGAGTATTTGTTTTAAATCTTTTTCAATTAGTAGTTGTAGACCTGAGAGTTTGAGCCCTCCTCGTCCACCCCCCAGTGCTTTCTCTCAGTGAGGTAAGCTACGTCTCAGGGCAGTTAAAGCCCAGAGAGAAGTGACTTGGTTACGGTCACCAGACTAACTGGTGTCCTAGCTGCACCGGAATCTGGGGCTTTTGATTCTAGCCCGGGGCTGTTTTCACTACAGCACACTGCTTTCTCTCAGTGTTACGTTCAGCTTGGCTGTGAGTGAGAAAGGTGAATCCAGATTCACTGCCAAAAGCATAGGGGTGAGAAGGGAAGCCTGGAGCGCTGGGTGTCGCCAGCTTTGCCTTTTCTGCGAAGCCAAATGACCAGACAGCCACCATTCCCTTGTCACTGTTCTGGAACGTTCTCTCCTCCACTGTGGTGACTTGTAACGGTCGCCCATGGCATTGAGGCTGTGGAGCCAGGTTAGTCCTCAGAGCAGATTTCTGTTGCTTTGCCACCTTGTAGGTACTATAGCCTCAGACAGCTTGCTAAGCTTTGCCGAGTCTTCATTTCCTCATCTGTGCAGTGGGATGATGATGTGATCTTCACGGAGATGTGAGGATGGGTCGGGGGCTGTGTATAAAGTAGCTGCTCTCATGTCGTACGTCCTCTTCCACATTTGAAAAGTGCCTTCGTAGCACAGAGCTTTCCTTAGTGGAAAATGTTTTCAGCACTTCGAGGATTGTAATTCTGAGTGTTGCTTTCTTTCGTTTTATAGTGAAAATGCCTCGTGTAAAAGCCGCTCAAGCTGGAAGACAGGGCCCTGGAAAGAGACGACTTGCGGAAAACTTTGCCCCTGGGGAGGTAATCACTGACATGACGAAGAAAGAGTGGAAGCTGGGCTCTCCCATTGGCCAGGGCGGCTTTGGTTGTATATATCTTGGTAAGTATAACCAATTCTCAAAATAGTTTCTCAGTTGGGAGAGGTTCCTAATTATCTACATTTAACTTAATACTGTATGATTTGGCAAAAATGTATCAATGACACAGGAGTGGACAAAAAGTTAGTTCATTTAGTCACAGTAGAAAAAGAAGGTGATATATCTGCAGTATTGTGCTTTAGATTTTAAAGATATTGTGTAAACCTGCCCTGGTGCCGCTCATTTTCAGGCTCGTTTGGATCCTCACTGCGGCAGTGACTCTTCTCTGCTGGGTCTTGTCCCTTTGCATCCCATTGTCCACGCTGTGGCTTGAGTGACCTAGCCTAGTTGAATTTCCGGAATGGCTCCCCCCGGCCTTGGGGATAAAGTGGCAGACACAGGAGAATGGCATAGAGACCCTCCCTCTCGTTGGTCCCTCCTTAGTTTTAATCTTCATCCCTCGCATTCCCTCAGGGTCTGCGCTTTGGCCGTCCTGCTGCCCTTTGCCTCTTGATCTCCATACGTGATGCTTCTCTGGTTTCATTTTTCCCAAGCTCAGGCTAGGGCGGGTACTGTCAGTTTATAGGCCCTTTGTGTCAGCGCTTTCACAGTCCTTTCACGCTGTGTTGAAATTACTTTTCCGTCTCAGCAATAGGGCATCTCTTCTTACTGTGTTCCTCGTGCTTGGCGTATTTATAACACGATGTTTGAATGAATTATCAAGCTTCCTTTTCCCCCTTTCCTCATTTGAACTGTGCGGTATTATTGGGATACTATCCTCATTTTGTACACTAAATGCTTATTTAAAAAGTTCTAATCTTGCTGTATTACTAATCAGCCTCTGAACGATGTGTCTTGGAGCTCACACCTTTCCATCTGCCCATGGTAGTTGTTTTTGCGACTTGGTGTTCCTTCTTCTCTCTGAACTACTGTAGCTGCCATTTCTTCAAAATCCTTCTGTTCCCCGTTGGTTGGTTGTTTCTTGTTTTCCTTTGCCGTTCTCCGTCTCTTCACATCTAGTGCGAGAATGCCTTAGGACTCGGGCCTAGCGTTTCTTCTTTTCTCTGGTACTCTCATGCCCTGGGGCTCTTCCAGAGTCATGGCTTTAAATGACTAGTGTTTCAATGTCAGTGACTCTCAAACTTATTTCTCCAACTTGGGCCATTCTTCTGAAGTCAAGACATGTATATCAACTGCCTCTTAAGCGCGTGAACTTGGATGTTTACTAAGCATCTCAGACATAAGGCTCGCCAGAGCACCAGCTCTTCCTGCAGTTTCCTCCATCTTAGTAAGTAGCAACTTCCTCTTTCCAGTTGCTTAGGCTGTAAACCTGGAGCCCTCCTTACCTCCTTTCTACCTTTTGCCCTCCTATCCAGTTTATCAACAAATTCTGTTGGCTCTTCTTTGAACATACGTCCACAGTGTGACCACTTACCACCACCTTGACTGCTACCATGTAGCCTACCTAGTAGCCTGGCTGACCTCTCTGCTTCTGCCCTTGCCCTCTGCACTCCGTTCTCCACTAAGAAGCCTGAGGAATTCTTAAATCAAAGTCTGATCTTGCCAGTTCTCTTCCTAGAACCTTCCCGTGGCTCTCCAGCTCAGTCATAGTGACAGCCTTATGTCACCTGTCATGCTGCTGTTTGGTCCCTGCTGCTTTTCTGATCTGTCCCTTGTTACTTTCCACCTCACTTACTTTTCTCCAGCTGCTCTGGCCTCCTTGCTTTCCTCAGACTTGCAGAAGCCTTCCATGTCAGGGTGTTCGTGCTGGTTTGCCTGGAATATTCTTCCCAGGTATTTATGTGGCTTATTCCCTCATTGTCACCTCACTGTCACAGGGTGTCAGCTCCAGGGACACCCTGTCACGTTTCTCTTAGGAGCTTGCAGCACATCTTCCTGCCTCATTTTCCCGCTGTAGCACTTACTACACCATTAAGCATTCTTTATATTTTAATTGTGGTCTGTGTCCTACCACTGAAACGTTAGCTTCATAAGAGTAGCGATTATATCTTCCTGCTCATTACTAAGTCAGTTTCCTAGAAACTGGCATATCATAGGTACTTGGTAAAAATACGTGTTTCATGAATGTGGGCAGTCTTATGTTCCTGACTGGAATACTGATTCCTGTGCTTTATTTGCGTGAAATAAAATGGCAGCCATGTGACAGTTATGGTTGGCAGTTCAAAGTTCTAGTGCCAACATCCTAACTGTTGATACAGATGAATTTCCTCTCCCAAATTAGTGCTTCTGGAACTTTAGCTCCCTTTTACCTCCCCGCCGCCCTTCTTAGGAAGGTTCCCTGGTTTGTGAAATTTAAGAAATGTCATCAGTTATCATCCTCTTTGGACTTCACAACCTACATTAGCATATCAAAAGCCATGAGTACGTTTAAATTAAGGAAATCTTTAACTCAGAGTTTTCCATACTTAATTGATGATCATATTGAAGATACCAGCAATTATAAAAATGCATTCCAATTTCAGACATGTTAAATCATGAAAAAAAAAAGTCTTCAAATTGATGAAATATACTGTAATGATATGCTGAGACACATACTTGGGAACAGAAATTTATTCTATCAAGGAGTTATAGATATACAAACTGAAAGATTAACAAAGGGTTAGTAACAGACTAATTAAAATAATGCTACTTCTTGTTCTGATATTACATATGTCACTTTTTCAAACAGCTGATATGAATTCTTCAAAATCGGTGGGCAACGATGCACCTTGTGTTGTAAAAGTGGTAAGAAAATATTTTAGCTGATTTTCTTTTTTGTTGAATGGGTGTAGTGTTTATTTTATAAGGATAAAGGATATTTTATATCCTTTTTGATAACTAGAATTAATTAAACCATAAGGTACTACGTTTTTAGCAGTGTTTAATAAGACACAAAAGTATCTTTATAGTTTTAAATAATTTGAATTCAAAAAGTCCATTTCCTCTCTTTTAAATTAGAGTGATCCTAGTATTTGGGGAAAAAAAATGAACGAAAGTATGGAGGTGTACAAATGTAGAATAAAAATATTCAGCTCATTCTTATTATTTCAGCTGTATTTACAATAGATGAGATACTTTCTTATTTTTATCCCACAAGACCATACTACTTTAATGAAACTTTACTGTATTTTATCTAGCATTTGCTTCTGAACTTCCACTTGGTCAGTCTTTTTCATTTTATTCCCAGTTTTCTTCCCTTCCACATCCATTTTAGTAAATTATATATTTAATTGTGATCACTTTGAACCTTCTTTTTGCTCAACTAATGTTGAAATTGGTTTGTAATGAGTAAAGGTTAACAGCATCCCATCTGATATGAGCATGCTTATACACTTATACAGCTTATACAGTGGTACACTAAAAGGCATTTAACTACTGTTTTTGTTAAGACTATATTATGCATCTTTCTGCTTACAAACTTCCATTTTTAACTCTTCTCTCAAAGTTCTTTACTTGTGTGAAGAATATGTTTTTGTTAAATAATAGGAGAGATAACAGGGTCTGTTATTGGGGCAAATTACTATCATAAGTTCCCCATTCGTCCTTTTTTTCTAAGGGCTACAGAAGTCAGAATTATCCTGGAGTTTTGTGTGTTGGTTTGTTTTATTTCACATTCTTTTAAATGAGGAATATATTTGATCCCTTGTGAATTAACTCTTTTGGACCTGAATTGTTTTAGTGATTGTTTTTAATACTTTTTTATTAAGGCATAGTTTTTACAAGGAAAACCATAATATATATTAAATAATTTGAATACTTTTGACAAGTGCCTATACCTGTATGGCTTCCACCTGTATCAAAATATACAGCATTTCTGTCAACCCAGAAAGATTTCTTATAGACTTTTTTGGTCAGACCCCTACTTCAGGGACCCTTTGAGGTTTTATTTTGTTTTGTTTTGTTTTTGGTGCTGTGGATTAGTCTTGTCTAGAACATCATATAAATGGTATTATACAGGGTATACTGTTTTGTTTCTGACTTCTCATGCTCTGCAGAATGTTTAATAGGCTCATTTGTATTGTTGGTATATCAGTCACTCATTCAGTCTTACTCGTCAGAATATTATATAGACATAGTCTTTTTTTTCCATTTCCTGTTGATTGTCAGTTTTTGGCTATTATAAATACAGCTCTTATGAAAGTTTTTCTACAGGGTTTTTATTTTTCTTGGATAAATACCTGGAAGAAGAATTGCTGGTTTGTAGGGAAGGTGTATATTTAAATCTATAAGAAAGTACCAGACAGATTTCCCAAGTGGTTGTGCCCTTTTGTACATCCGCCAGTGATGGAGGAGAGTTCTGGTTGCTCCAGATTCTCCAGAGTGTGTGGTTGTCGGGTGGGTTGGAATGTTTTGCCGCCGTGATGTTGCGTGTGTAGGAAGGTCTCAGAGTTTTACCTGATGGCTCACTTTGATTAGTTTTTCCAAGTAATTGTGCCTATTGGCCATTCATGTATTTTCCTTTGTGAAGTGCCTCCTCAGTTTTTGTTTGTTTGCTTGAAAGACCTAGGTAGTTTTACTCTTTATAATTGAGTAGTAAGAAAGTTGTTCTGGATGCAGGTCCTATTCCAGATGTGTGCATTGTGAATATTTTCTCCCCGTTTGTCGTTTGCGTGTTTGTTGGTTGAATGCTTTTTGTGCACCTTTTGAGGTGGATCATAGGATTTCTCTCCTTCATTCCGTTAATGTGGCAGTAATATCGACTGGTAATTTGAGTGTAAAACTTGTATTCTTAACATACATGCCACTGAGTTCTGATGTATTATACTTTATACATAATGCTGGCATTGATTTGCCAGTATTTTGTTAAGAAGTTTTCCATTTTTGTTCGTGAGGGATATTGGTCTTTGTTTTATCTAATATTTCTAAATTTTAAAAATGTCCAATCTCATTGTTTGGTTTTGGCATCAGGGTTATTGGCGCCTGGTCTCCTTTTTGCCCTGCAGAACCCTGAATCGCCTCCTTTTTACTCCTTGTGCCTCTATGAGGAAAGCGGAGGCTGGCCTGGGGCTCACTGTGTTGGTCCCCCCCCCCCCCCCCCGTCGCCTTTTTAAGATGTTATTTATTTATTTACTAGAGCAAGAGAAAGAGTGTGTGTGTGCAAGAGGGAGGCGGGGCCAGAGGGAGAGAATCTCAAGCAGACTCCCTGCTGAGTGCAGAGCCTGACTCGGGCCTAGTTTCGGGACCCTGAGACTGTGACCTGATCTGAAACCAAGGGTTGGCCGCTCAGCTATCTGGGCCACGCACATGCCCTGATTTGTTTCCCAATTTTTAGAGGTCACAGTCTCTACTGCCTATTCTGTCTAATGTCTGAAAGGAGTGATTCCATCTGTTTTGTCCAATTTTTACATTTGTTTACAGCAGGGGGCTAATTGGCTCCCAGTTACTCTGTCAGGCCTGTAAGTAAAGTTGATACCCTGATGGGTGTGTCCTGGCATTTTGCTTTTCTTTAATAAGCCTTTTCATTTTGGATTTTTCTCTCTCTTTATGGACTAATATTTCTTTTGAAATATTTACTTGCTGCTCTATCAGAGGAAGGAAAATTCTTGCTATTAAATTGAGTTGTTTATATGGAAACGCAGAATGTTATCTGCATTTGCCTTTGGTATGTCAGATTAAAATTAAAAATCTAAGGGCAAGACTACTTTCTTCTTAGGATCTTTAAGAAGTTTCCATTGTGAGAAGAGAGCAAGTCCACTTATATATCTATGACTTCTCATAATCTTGAGGTTCAAAAAATGTGGCTGGCTGTGACCATCTTGCAGCTGGCTAACCTGCACTACCCTCCCCATGTGTTGGAAGGACACTGCCAGGGCCGCACCTTATGGGTGGCACTGGTGGGGCACTGTCTTTCTTCTGGAGAGCCCGAGGTTCTCCCAGCCATGGTTTAGTGTAGAATGATGATGCTCTTCTTTATTATGGGTCATTCTAAATGTTTTAGTTGTTATTTAATGTAACATCACTTGTACTACCTGTTTTACTTACAGAGTTATGAAAAAAATGTGTAGGAACAAGTATTTCCTAACTGCTTAATAAGGTAGTAAATTACTCTCTATTTCTAATTTTAAAGCCTTTTGTTATCAAACCTCGTTTAGTGCTCTGCATCTCTCCTGTCTCCTAATTTAGTTCTGTTTCCATTGGCTGGTATTACTCCTTCTCTTTGTAATGAGGACAATGATAAATATTCAGTCAATTTCTCTTTTGCATTTAATATCTCAGTAACATTTTCAGTGTGGTAGTTTGTCTGTGATCCTGGAAGAATGCCGTAAACAAATCAGTGTTACTGACGTTCCCTTTTCTCTCTCAGGGAGAGCCCAGTAGCTGCTATTGCTGATTCCTTTCCAGATCCTCATCCTCTCTGAACTCCTTGAAACTCTAGTAGCATTCATTCTGTTTACATTTATTTTACCATTTCAGATGCTAATATCCTTCCCAGGCCACAGTCGCTTTTAATCTTGTAAGTGTTTTTTTCCTTAGCTGGATTTCAAGTTGTTTTCTTGTAAACTTACTTTGTTGTTCTTGTTGTAAACTTATTTTCTTTATGACGTTTATAAATGCCTGCTTTATTCTGAAAACTTTATAACCGTAATTTCGCAGCACCTTTTGATTTCTTGGGGCCACCCACTTTCATCTGCGGTCTGTGTCTTTTCAAGTAGCATCATTTGCCTTCACTTGTGATGTGCTGTGACGTAGCTCTGTCCACAACTACTCTGTAAGTCTTTGCTCTCAGAGCTTTATAATATTAAAGGTGGAAATGGTTTGTCAAACACAAACCTGTAAAATGAATGTCAGTTCTTTCCAGTATGAAAATCAACTGCTTATGAACATTTGCCATTTAAAACATTAGGGTCTATTAAAAATCATGTTTTCAAAGAACGGGTACTACTCTTTGGGGACCTTTCATAAGTAATTACTAAAAAACAAAAAGCAAAATACAAAACTATATGTAGTATGGAGGTAATTTTATAAAATAGCCATATATATGAAGAAAATATGTCAAAATATCTCCAAATTTTCTAACGTAAGCACATATATTATCTTTGGAGAAAAATCACCTTAGCAAATGTTATTTAAAAAATAATGGAAGACTGGGGCACCTGGGTGGCTCAGTTGGTTAAGTGTCTCCCTTCAGCTCGGGTCATCATCTCGGGGTCCTGGGATGGAGCCTGCATAAGCCTTCCTGCTCAGCTGGGAGTCTGCTTCTCCCTCTCCTTTGGTGCATGCGTTCTCTCCCCCACCCCCTCATATAAATAAATAAATAAATCTTAAAAAAATAGTCGAAGGCAAGTTGATTTTTAACGTGAAGTTAGACTTAATAATGCAGTGGCATATCAAATCAAACAGTGGTTCTCTACTAAGAAGTAGAGTGACTATACCACAGTGGTAGTGCGCTATAATCAGAATCTCCGATTGCAGAGCCTGGTTATTGGTATTTTTAGTAAAGCTCCCCAGGGGATTCTTCTGTGCCTCAAGGTTGAGAACCGCTGGTAGAGTGTGGTGCACAGAGCACCGTAATTATTTTCCGTGGAATCATGCGTGCTCATGTGTACCTTTGGGGTCCTTTCATTCAGTGGAGGCGGCAGGTACCCCGTGCTTCTGTTCGGGCTTCCCCTGCGGGTGGAAGATTTGTCAGAAGACGTGGCTGCTGCTAATATGCGTCCCTGCTCCGTGAAAGAGCCTCAGATGGTTAACCCGCAGATTCTTACATTTGGTCTGGAAATGAAGTGAAGACAGACATGTTCAAGATAGATGTTTAGGTACATACTAAGTATTTTCTTTCTCCTACCAAATGACCACTCTGGTTTTGCTTAGGGCCTTACTCCGTATTGACTTAGGGAGCAGCCTCAGAGTCATGGTGCTAAGGTCACCAGAGATGGTAAACTTGTATTCTTTGCCTTTAGATAACTGAGACACCATGTCTGTATTTTATCTCAGGAAAGATGATGTGCCCCGAGAAATGGGAAATTGGTAATAAGTTGGATAATGCAAGAAGAAAAAAATACTCTTTTGTGTTTTCTTGTTAACAGCCTTGATAACAAATTAGTTTTCAGTTATACTCCCCTTTTGCAGTCACATCAGTGAGCTCAGAGCAGAACTGAGGGGGAGGGCGGACTTTTGGGTCTTGTACCCTAACAGTTCTTTATATCCTGGTCACTTTGAACAGACATAAAGTCTTTGTTTCAAAGTTCCGTGGCAAGAAGTTTGCAGACTGATGTTTAATTTCTTTCACTGACTTTATGAGAAGTGACCTGAATTTTCAATTCATATATCATAATTTTTTGGTGGGAAGGGGAAACTTTATACAGCTTCATTTTTAAATGGCAGCCAGTTGCTTTTAGAGGGTGCCATTGAAATATATCACATTTTAATTTTTTTTCTGTTGTCATCTTCATTTTGACACTTAGAAGTCTTAAAGAAACGTTTAGTGATATTCTAGTTAAAATGTCAGTCCCAATTTCTTTTCTAAATCTTGGCTATTATAGAGTTGGCAAAGTATTTTAGATTTGAAATATGTTAATAAAATTTTAGTTATGAGTTAAGGTATTTTCTTCCACAGAAATAGCGAGCTTTGGCCAGAGTGCAATGCCAAGGAAGTAGCTCCTTTATTTTGTTATAATGGAACCTTATTGGATTAGAAAAAAGTATGAAATGAGCTCAAAGAGCCTTCATTGTAGTGGGGCTTTCATTATAATAGTCTGATTTATATAGGTTGATTCTTATTATTATAAGTTTAATAAATTATTGCCCAAAGGGAAGCTTGGAAATTAAAGTTGATATGACATAGGTTGGAACGGAATGAATCAGAATTTTATACTGATGGTAATAAGCCAGGATTTGTCTTAGGAAAACCCCTTTCAAACCTGAATTATATTAATAAGCTATTCTAAAAGTTAGTCTTTGGAGAGTAACTTCACCAAAATGTCTTCTCTTGAATTTCCACTACTTTCATTTCTTTCACTGAGAGTGCTGCTCCTGCTGAGGGCCTGCTGTGGGCCCTGAACAGGGACAGGTGTCTGTCCAGAGAGCATCGATGCCAAGGAATGAGCCATAGGTTATGGTGAAGCTTGAGGTACTGCGTCCAAAGATGAGGGACTTGCATTCATAGCTTGTGTGTTGGTTAGTTTCTATTTCTTAAGAGGTGTTGAGATGCCAAGCCCCATGTACCATTCTGTTTCCAGGCTGGGCTAACAAGTACACCTGGAACAAGGCACGTTTATTTTCAGGTTCTGGTCCACGTGTTGGTTATGCATGTTGCCTGTTTGCTATTGACTGCTTGTTCTTAACTAGGTGCTGCCCGATTCCTTGCAGATTGGCTGACCCGTCTTCCTATACACACTTTAACTGGGGATTCCTGAAGCTAGTGGGCCTCATGGTCATTTCTTCTAATGCTCTGCTGACCTTGCAACTCCAGCTACACGGCTGTTCTGTCCAAGATAACTTTCTTCCTGCATTTCCTAAAGGAAAAGCAACCTTATAATTAGTTTAGAAATGTTAGCTTCCTCGTTCGAAGTTTTCACTGCTTTTCAGAATTTTTCTCGGGTTCTTGATAAACAAGATAATACCAACAGAAATGATCAACATGACATACAAACCACTTTTTTTTTTTTAAATTTTATTTATTTATTTGACAGACCGAGATCATAGGTAGGCAGAGAGGCAGGCAGAGAGAGGGGAAGGGAAGCAGGCTCCCCGCTGAGCAGAGAGCCCAATGCGATGTGGGGCTCTATCCCAGGACCTTGGGATCACGACCTGAGCCGAAGGCAGAGCTTTTAACCCACTGAGCCACCCAGGTGCCCACAAACCACTTTTGATTCAGATACAATTTACTATTTAAGAAGTCCACAAAATTGTAATATCTTTTTTATCTTTCCATGTCTATTTAACAAGGCACAAAACTCCCCAACAGGCTGATATTTCTTGTTTGTCCATGCCTTTTTGTGCATATATAATTCTTTACAAATCATTTTAACTGTTAGTAGCCTTTAAAATGTAAAATGAATGTAGTCTGGTAAAGTTGGTTGGAAACAGTTATTACTGAGCCCTGGTTTCCTCTTGACTTTGAATTCTCATGTGGGAAGGTAATCGTGGGGCTCCTTAGTTTGAAAAAGGCAGGAATCAGTGTCAGCAAGGAAGGGATACCACTAAGTGGACAGTACTTGCTCGAGGCTCTGGAGTTCTAGAAGATTCCCTTTGTGACAAGGTTGGTGTCTGCCAGTCCTGATCAACTGGATACAGCTGTACTGAGAAACAGGGAAAAGAGTTGGATTTTGTCACTAATTGGTTAAGTCAGGTATTGGAATTTTATTGGATCTCAGAAACATCTGGTAGCCCCTTGGTTCACATGGTTGCCAATCATTGCTTAAGAGAAAGCTTAACAAAGATGAAAATGAGTTTAAAGATTTTTCTTAAACTTCTGCAAAGACAGAGCTGTTTATCTGATTTTGAACATTTTCACTTACAGAAATGGACTTTGAGAAAAATATAAGATTCATGGACTCTTCTGAGAATATCTAAAACGTTTTGAAAGAGTGTGTCCCATAAAAATAGTTACAAACTTAAGTATCATAATTACATTGGAAAGAAACACTGATGTTAGTGTTCTTTGAAGTTTCATTGAAAATGACTCCATAATGTTAATGACTGCTAGCGCCAATAACCTCTTATGTTTTAAGGAGCCCAGTGACAATGGACCGCTCTTTACTGAACTCAAGTTCTACCAGCGAGCCGCCAAACCAGAGCAAAGTAAGGAGCACAGCACACATGTGTCTACCTTGTTAAAGTGACCGCTGCTTGTTGTGTGAAGTCAAGACAAGAGCACTGGATCTGATATTATGACGCTTTGTTATATCTATTTTTTCTCTTTTTAAGTAAATTTCATTTTAATGAGATTTGTTTGAAAGAATTTTGATCTCTTACTGGGTTTGGTATAAGATTTCATCTATATTGATACAGAATAAAGTTAGTTAGAGGATATAGGATTTAGGAAATAGCATAAAAAATTAAGAAGTAATCCTAATTCATGCATGGGACTCCCAGTCTTTTTGAACATTTTTTCTAAACTTTGGGGAACATAACCTGGGTGGAGGGGGGATGCTGTAGTTGATGAGTTAGAACAGCCTGCGGGGAAGAGAGCAGGACCTCTTCAAGCTCCTGCCACCCCTTGAGCGTCATTTCCTGGTTACTGACCTTTAGAAATGAGGTAAACAACTTCTAGGTTAGGTAAAAAGTAAGTCTTTCTGGAGAAGTGAGTAACCATTTACATCATTAGCGCTCGTAAGGACAGCTGGCATGCTGTGGTTGGGTTTTCTTTTTTTTTAATGCCTATCGGAGATTTTTCATTTTAAAGACAATGTTTAGAGCAGGATAAAGTTTTGTATGTTAATAAAAATGCTTTGATTGAAAGGTACTTGTTATTTGTTATTATAATGTATTGCTCACTTTTTTATGAAAAAAAGATGAAATCTTATTACATGTGCAAGTGCATTCTGCTCTTAATGATTTAAAAAATCATGTAGAAGAAAAGTGAAATCATAAGCCTGTGTTTTTAACTTGTAGTTCAGAAGTGGATTCGTACCCATAAACTGAAGTACCTGGGTGTTCCTAAGTATTGGGGGTCTGGCCTACATGATAAAAATGGAAAGAGGTAAAAATTTGCATGCTTTGTGTTTCTTCTCCCTCTTTTGAGCACTCACTGACCATGGTTTACTGAGCACCTGCGTTTCTGCTTGGTCTCCCTCTGGGCTGCGGGGCACGCACTTGGCAGAGACGAACAGGACATGAGCCCTAGTCCGGAGGACTTGTGTGGAGCACTGGCACCTGCCTGGAGCCCAGCTGACGAGCAGGAACAGAGCAGATGCACCCTGCATTATCTCCTCTTATAAATAAGCAAGCAAGCAGACAAGAACTCCATGTCATTTATGGGAAAGGGAGCCCTTCAGGCTTCAGTTTGGCCTTTTGTATTAGATACACGATCTGCCCGTAGCAGCGTCCTCTTTATGACATTTCAGCGTGGCTGGTGAGAGAAAACAAACATGAATGAGACAATTAACAGCCACGAAGTGCTACTAAACTCTGTGACTCTGATTTGTTCGTGTCTTAGGAGTTCTGAGATTGGAGAGAGAGCATTGCTGGCACTGCTGAGTTGGAGAAAACCTCCCGTGCTTTGGTGCATGATTGACATTTTTAAAAATACTCGCATGAATGAATGGAACTTCCTGGAGTAGGCTGGCAGCCGTCCGAGGAGTAGATTTAGTTCGGCCCTGGGGGTGTATTGGTTAGGGTGCTTTCAGCTGTAAGTAAAGGAAAACTCTGCTCTCTGATGTGACTGTCAGGGGCCCCGGTTCCTTTATCTTGCTCTTTTGCCCTCCTCCTCTTGGCTTTGTGCTGTATTAATTCTCCACTGTACGGCCTCAGGTGGCTGCCCCATTTCTGGGCGTCACATGCAGACAGACACAGCAGTCCACGGCAATAGGAGGTATTGCTTGTTGTGTGTTTTCCTTTCCTGGCAAAGGAACCTCCCTTCCTCTCATGTTTCTTGGTCTGGGTTTTATCGGTGCTCATTGTCAAACCTGCCACGGGCAGGGGCTGAGTGATCAAGTGGCTGGCCCGGTGAAGTGCAGCCGTGTGGCAGAGGATGGACTGCTTGGACGCAGTTGCCGCTCCGTTGGGAAGGGTGGAGAGGAGAGGTAGTTGCTGGGTGGGCAGCCCGCGCTGTTTTATGTTTGGAAGTTCTTATCCTGTATCTGTATCTCTTAGGAAATAGGATGAATTTACTGAAATGACAGCGTTTTTTTACATATGGTTTTGCTGGGACAAGTCTCTGTAGTTTTTATGAAAATTTCTGGAGAAGTAGGATAGAACCAGGAATAATTACACATATAGCAGGGGTTCTACATCCGAAGTAATTAGAATAGTGCCGTGTTCAGAAGGCTTCAGTCCATGCTCACTGTTGTTATGATGGTCATCACTCATCTTAGGCAGTTGGAAGGGACATTGTGAATGTGGTCTTAGTTTTTACTGATTTATGGAGTGATTTAACCAGACGAGTCAGAATCTGGAACGCTGGATAAAGATAAAAGTGATCCTCAGAGCATACAGTGAACTGTGTTACTGGAGTGAGGTGTTGCTTTTCAGGTACACATAGAAATGTCACTTATGGTTGTCGAATGTTGGAATTTGAGTGCCAGAAAAGACCTCAGCACGCAGGAGGCCCCACGCTGTCATTCAGTACCTGTGGGAATTGGGGCTTACAGAAGTAATGTGACTTGGCCAAGGTAACATAGTGGGTTTGTGGCAAAAGCAGAAATCTGTCCGTTTCCCCAGGATATTTGTTCTTCGCTAGGTTTTGTCCTTTGAGTATTTAACATACAGCCCCTTTATACCTTTTACATAATTTTATGGAATTTAGTTACTGTGACAGCATCTCTTTATAGTCTCAATTTTAGTAAAATGTTAATACTGCCAAAATGTACCCTAAAAGTAAAGAAAAACAGTCACAGACAACAAGCTAAATACAGAAACATAAATTAACTTCAGTTTGGGGAAAATCCATGATACCAGTCTTACACGGATTGTTTTATCTTTCCTGTGAATGAATCTGCCAGTGTCTTGTCTGTAGACTGGTCACCTTACGTTGACCAGTATCTCAGGAAACTCCCTGGCTGCCACCAGGAGGCCCTCAAGGCAGCACAGGGAAACACTCCCAACTCTTGAGATTTCTAGTTGGAAGAAGGGGTTTCAAACATTTGCCTTTCTTTCCTTCTCTCTCCTTTCTTCCCCTTTCATTCTGCTCTCTCACTAAACATGGCCTTGGAAAAATTACTGTCAAGGGAGACTAGTCACCGCAAAGTAGGTTTTTTCGAGTTCTGTTTAGTTCATTGACTTTTCTTGTTTGTCTTTAGTTACAGGTTTATGATAATGGATCGCTTTGGGAGTGACCTTCAGAAAATATATGAAGCAAATGCCAGAAGGTTTTCTCGGAAAACTGTCTTGCAGCTAAGCTTGAGAATTGTGAGCTACATTCCTCTTCTTTTAATCCAGTAAAGGCGAGTTGTGTTGAAGCTCGGTCCTCTGCTGGCTGGTGTTAGGTACTGCATTAATTTATTCTATATGATGCTTTCGTAGCTGGATATTCTGGAATATATTCACGAGCACGAGTATGTACACGGAGATATCAAGGCCTCAAATCTTCTTTTGAGCTACAAGAATCCTGACCAGGTAGTTTTATTAACTTTAATTTCTACTATTTAAAAGCTGTTGTTTGAAAACAAATATGGTTGCTTTGAACTTTTGAACTTGTGCAGAAGTTTTACTTTTTGGAGTAGATATGGTAATAATAATATTTCTTCTTGACACTTTTATCTAGTTAACATTCTACACTTTTGATGCGATTTGTTGGCACTTTATCAAGTTGGCTATTTTGCCCTAAATAATATTCAGAAGAAGTGCTTGTGATACAAAATGAATTTCAAATAGCTATTTGGGGGTGGAAGCTTAAAATTATATAGTGCACCGATGAATTATGTTTGCCTGTCTGCTTTGTCATTTTTTTATTTCCTTTGTTCAAGAAATCCATCAAATATAAGTGTTCTGTTACTTGGAAAATTTGGTCTTTAACATGTTGATTATTCAAATCAATTGGTTTACAGAAATATCTTAGCTGTCTAAATTTGTATACCCTTAGTGTTTAGAATTCAAATGTGCATTTTTTTTTTTAGTTTATTGCATTCACTTTGTAATTTTTACTTTTTAAGGAAAAGAGAAAAGCTAATGTTATTATACCTTTATTCAGATCAGTTTAGTTGGAATAGAGGGGTTTATACAATTTTCTTGAAGCCGTTTCCACAATTTTGTTTAAAGTAAGGTTTGGCTGGCACTCCTGGTCAGGCCACTGCATGGAATTGGCGCCATGTATATTCTTGCGTCTTACTGATGCTGTATAAGAAAGGGTTGTCTACATATTTTAAGTGTGTTTATGTTGACATTCCATTTTATTTTTTTCCCTCAAACCAGTCTTTAACTTTGTCTTGCCTAGCTTTCCCTTTCTCCTTCGCCTTCCCTTTATTTTCTACCATCTCAGGTATTGCCCCCATCCCCTGTCTCTGTCATGCTGGCGGTCAGGGATCTCCCTGTACAGCAGAGGAAAGTTGCTTAACTCTAGCATGCTCATGGGGAAATCTTACAGGCACTCACAGGACTCCCAGATGTCTTGTGTTAGATGTTTTTAAAAAGGTTAAAAGCGAGTGAGCAAACAAAGAGGACACGCTGAGAACCTGAACCATAAGGATTCCATTAATTGAAATGAACTGGACGTATACAATGTAATAAATAAAAATATAGTTCAGTTTGCAGTTAGCTAAAATATGCTGCCTCTTGTTTATAGGAAAATATTTTTGCAGCTCTGTTATCCTTCGGGCATATGCTTTGGATGGGATTATTTTTCTGGTGTTAAATGTGTGTGCTAGATCCGTCCCCATATTTTTACTTTAGTTTCCTCTTGTGATCACATGCATACATTTCTGAGACAGTTACCCAGAATTGGAGATGTGGTATGTGACTATGGAATAGAAGAAAGCCAAATTTACTGGCTTTTTATGCTCATCAGACCCACACGTACGTGCCCACAGATATGTGCTATTAAATATTAAAATTTAGTTTCAATTATGAAACTTGGCTTTTTTTTTTTTAAATTAATTAATTTATTTATTTGACAGAGAGAGAGAGAGAGATCACAAGTAGGCAGAGCAGCAGGCAGAGAGAGAGAGAGGGAGAAGCAGGCTCACCACTGAGCAGAGAGCCCAACGTGGGGCTCGATCCCAGGACCCAGGAATCATGACCCGAGCCAAAGGCAGAGGCTTAACCCACTGAGCCACCAGGCGCCCGAAACTTGACTTTAATATACAATATTTAAATGGCGATAAGAGCCTTAGCTGAAGGTTATTCAGATCATTATTGTTATCTGAGATATTTTTGTGAAATGAATTGATAAATTGATTATTTCATACGTGGAGGAGCAGAAGAATAGAAAATAATTGATGTATCATGTGTCATCTAAGTCAGTAGTCTTATACTTGGTGTGGGGCTGTTGTTTTGCAACAAGTATTGGTTTCCTCTGTGCTCAATTGTGTTTTGGACTCTGAGGAAAAAAGTATAAGATTTATAGTCTTTGCTCAAGTTGAGGAAACAGGATTAATTACAAGTATAATATATTTACCTAAAGAAGTATACAGAGTCAGGTGATATTATCTGGACTATAGTGACATGGGCATTCAGCATTTTTCTTGAAATAAAAGGTCTTTCAGAATTGGGGCATGTGGGTGGCAAAGTCAGTTAATTGTCTGATCTTGGTTTTGGCTCAGGTCATGATCTCAGGGTCCTGAGATCAAGCCCTGCATTGGGCTCTGCACTCAGCATGGAGTCTGCTTAAGACTGTCTCTCCCTGCGCCCCTCCCTGCCTGTACACTCATGCACCCACTCTTTCTCACTCTAAAAATAAATAAATAAATTAAAAAAAAAAGTTTCAGGATTAAGTATTTGCTCTTTTTAGCATATTGGATTTCACTTATTCGGGGTACAATGTTGTGGTCTTGCAGATGAATCCACCCTCGAATGACAGTATTTTGTCTCTGGGCCATAAAGGAGTGTATGTGCAATCATTTGGCTTTGATTTTTCTTGGTGCTTGGACATTTGTAGGTGTACTTGGTAGATTACGGCCTTGCTTACCGGTATTGCCCAGAAGGAATTCATAAAGAATACAAAGAAGACCCCAAAAGATGTCACGATGGCACTATTGAATTCACCAGCATCGATGCACACAATGGTGTTGGTATGTCAACAGTGCCTGACCAAGAAATATGCTGCTAACATTTCAGTTGAAGTCCTACATAGTTCATAATTTTGTACAAACAAACAAGCAGATAAATCAGAATTGCAGAGGCAGGATAGGGTGGGGAAAGGGTGGGGGGGGAGGCTGGACTCCTATAGTTGCATAATAGGGCCACAGCTCACTGAGGATTTCTTTTTGGTTCTGTTTAGCTTAGTCAAATGGAGGGTGTTTTTTTTTTTTCCCCTTAAAAGTCTGTCCATTTCTTAGGCAGCCACAACTTTGTAGCAGACAAACTGACTTTGTCACCTCTGAAGTCAGCCTGTTCCTTTAGCAGGTGGTTTGCCTTTCTATGCCCAGCACTGTGGAGGAGCTGAGCCCCCAGCTCTCTGGGCTTCTCCGTAGCTTATAGCATTTTAGTGTCTTTGAGTTTTCCAAGGACAGTATTAAATGTCTCTGTTTTATAATTTATTTCCTAGACCAACAGTCTTGGTTTGCAACTCTAGTTTGCTAGTTGGATTTTAAAGTAAGTCGTTAGTTGGATGTAAATTCATATTTTGATATTGTCCAATATTTATTCAATACTTTTATTAAATACAGTGATAAGTTTTGATGAAAAACAAGACTGTAAGACTGACTGTTTAACCTTATTGGTTTATATATATTTGAGACTATACCTCAAAGTGATTTTGGTGCTTGACCTGTTTCTTTTATATTCATAGCCCCGTCAAGACGTGGTGATTTGGAAATCCTTGGTTATTGCATGATCCAGTGGCTTAGTGGCCATCTTCCTTGGGAGGATAATTTGAAAGATCCTAACTATGTTAGAGATTCCAAAATTAGGTAAAGGAAAACTTATAATAAATTATTTTGGGCAAAATCTTGATAAGGTACATGTATTTAAGTCAGAATTTCTTGACGGATACTGTAGTTTTAACTGCTCCAAAATAGAAATAAGAAAGTACTTGCTACATAGGAAGAATCTTTGGTCTTCTGTTCAGTTTGTTTTAGAAGAAAGTCTGTAGGCGGATTTAGGATGTAACACAGTGCCGCTTATTGTGCTATTTACTGTTATTAAATATTAATAAATTTCCATGGAGTAAACCTTCAAACAGTGATTCATTCTTTAACTTTTAACAGATACAGAGAAAATATTGCAGATTTGATGGACAAATGTTTTCCCGAGAGAAACAAGCCAGGTAGGATTTCTTAAATGCTTATATGGGTTTCATTTAATATGAAAAAAAGACTAAAAGTCATGATGTCTACAGCATTTCCTGTAATGTGAAAGCTTAGGTATTTGCAAGTGTGATCATTGTAGTGGGGCCTGTTCTCATCACCACAGCAGTTCCCTTTCCAGAGGTGGGCTAAAGGGGTCCTTGAACTTCCTTAAATTATTAATTCAGCTTTCAGGAGAGAAACCAGATTTCTTTCATTCATTCAGCGATTTTTTTTTGTTGAGGCTTGATTGTGTGCCAGGGAGCATTCTAGGCACTAGAGATAGACCAGTGAGCAAAATAAAGCAAAATTCCTGTCTTTATGAAGCTTGTGCTCTAGTCGGGAGCGAGGGACAGTAAACACGTGAGTGAATTGTACAGCATATTATGCGGTTAGTACTACGGAAAAAAAAGAAAGCAGGGGTTAGAGTTAGTGGGTGTGGGGATGAAGTGAGGAGTAGAGTGGGAGGGAGTTGGAGTTTTATTTTTTTATTTTTTATTTATTTATTTATTTATTTTTTGGGGGGCAGCAAAGAAAAGTTTATTAAGTGATAGTACAAAGCTCGGGAAGAGGGAGGGGACCAAGAGGGCTGCCCAGGAGTTGGAGTTTTAAATACAGTCACCAGGATGGCCTTACTGAGGAGGTGACATTTGAGCAGTCGGAGATTGGGAGTAAGCTGTGTGGAAGTCTGGGGAACAGTGTTGGAGGCAGGAGGCATCTAAGTTCCTGGTGTGCTTGCGGGCATCCATCAGAAGAGCTTTGGTTTTTACTTTGAGCAGGAGTGTGAGGTTTGGAATAGAAGAGTGGCATCGATGTCTGCCTTTAAGCAAAATTTCCATCTCCTGTCCCGAGCATAGACTGCCAAGGGAGGAAGGCAGGTATGAACAGGAGCAGGCTTGGAGGGCCCCCCAGTAATCCAGGCAAGGGAAGTAGCAGTGGGGGTCTCGAGAAGTGGTCACTTGGCATATATTCGATGTGTTTTTAAGCCTTTGCTCATTTGTCTCCTTTTCAGGGAAGTCCACCCTGACCTCATGCTGTTTAAGATTACAGTCCTGCCACCCACACAGGAAATGGAACCGTATAGGCTTCTCAGAGTCCCCCCTTGTGCCTTCTACCAATCACAAGCCTTTCCCGCTGGCTTAATAAATAACTAGCCTAACTCCCAACCCCAAAGATTTGTTTGTGAGCTATGTAAAAATGGAATCATAGAGTGAACAACATAGAAAAAAAATCCCTGTCCTCCTGACATTAACTTCTAGCTCTGTTAGAGTCCTGTTTCTTTTACTCAGTATTGGATTTGTGAAATTCATTCCTATTGTTGCATGGCTTTTTTTTTTTTTTTAACATTTCTATTTATTTTTTTTAACTTTATTGACGAATATAGTTGTATGCATTTAAAGTGTACAGTGTGATTTGACTTACATTTATATCGTAAAATGATTAACAAGATCAAGATAATTAACACTTCTATTACCTTACAGTTAGCGTTGTGTTTGTGTGTGTGAGTGTGTGAGTGTGTGAGTGTGTGGTGAGAATGCTCAAGATCTGTTCTCAGCCGCTCTCCAGTCTGCAGTACCAAATTATGAACTGTAGTCCCCATGCTGTGCACTGGGTCCTCCTGGGACCCTGTTGTTGCACGTTTAACAGGGATGTGTTCGTTATCATTTCTAATAGTATTCTGTTGTGTTTATATCCTATTACCTATTCTGCTGTTGGCTGTTTCCAGTTTTTGGCAATCACAGGCCACCAGTTACACATATAGGTGTATAGTCCCCCCATAACTGATTATCACGCCTTACATGAAGAGGGGCCAGATTTCTTCCCCATCCCCATATTTATAAACAGTTGTTTATAAACAGTTCCATTATTTATAAACAGTTGACCAAGTAGCTTTTCTTGAAAGAAACAAAACCAAAAACCCGCTCTTTCCATTTGGTGCTACCTTTGTCTTAAATCAGCTGTGGATCTGTGGATTGGTTTCTGGACTCCTTTCTTGCTATTATTTTTGTCCCTTCTTGGGCTGTAGTGTCAGAATGACTCTAGCTTTATCGTGAGTCTTGACCTCTGGTCGTGTAAGTCCTCCAGTACTGTTGTTCTTTTAACTTGACTTTGCTGTTTTGCAAATCTTGACCCTGTGAGTGTCTCTATACATTTTAGAGCCACCTGTCAGTTCCACGCATATCCCCTCCCTTTCCGGGTTGCTGGAATTTTGAGTGGGGTTGCACTGACTTTAGATCGGCTGATGTCCTCACGCTGTTGAGTCTTCCGATTCACTAATGGGGTGTGTTCTCCACTTCATTTCTTTCACTGCGTTTTGTAATTTTGTCCGGAAAAAAATCTTGCCCGTCTTCATTGTATTAGTTGCCAGGTGTTTGATGGTTTTTCATGCCATTGTAAATGATCTGTTATTTTATTTTAAGATTTTATTTTATTAGAGAGTGCATGCGCATGAGTGAAAGGTGGGGCAGAGGGGGAGGGGAAGCAGACTCCCTGCTGAGTGTGGAGCCAGCTGTGGGGCTGGATCTCATGACACGGAGATCATGACCCCAGCTGAACCAGGAGTCGGGGGTTTAACTGATTGAGCCACTCAGGTGCCCCGGAATTTTTTTTAAATTTTATTTTCCAATTGCTTGTTGCTAGTACCTAGAAAACAATGTTTTAATATTTACTTTGTATCCTGTGACCCTGGTAAATTTACCTATTAGTCCCACTAGTATTTTATGGATTCCTTAGGATTTTCTGCATCATTGCTGTATTTTTGAATACACCATTCCACTCTATGCCCTCTCTTTCTTTTCTTGTCTTACTGTACTGACTATGACACTGAATGGAAGTGGTGAACGTGGACATGCTTGACATTTCCCCCTCTCAGAAGGAGACTTTTCCATATGAGACCACGTAAGGTGATGTTTGCTTTAGGTTTTCCACAGATCCCCCTTATCAGGTTAACAAAGTTGAAGGGAGGGATTCTCATTTCTTTTTTCCTCATCTTTCTCAAGTACCTAGAATTGTGCCTGCTGCTGAGTAAGTGCTAGTCAGTGAATGAATGGAGGGGTGTGTGTGTGTGTGTGTGTGTGTGTGTGTGTGTGTGTAGCACTGACACGATCTCTTGGTTTATTGCATGTGGGGTGTGGGAGGAGATTTCTGGTTTGAGGAGCTGGAACAATGGAATTCTCAGTAACTGGGGTAGGGGAAACCACAGGGGAGCAGGTTTAGGGGTAGGTCAGGAGTCTGGATTTGCATCTGTTGGGATTCCAGAGGACAGTTAGAGATCCAGGAGTCAGTGTATGAGGCCCTGGGCACACAAGTTCCTGGAGGCTGGTGGAAGGGTGAGGCTGGGGAATGTAGGAGTTGTTAGCCCAAACATGGATTTCTGGTGTTGAGGAGTATCAATCTTGACTAGTAAGATTTCTTTTTAGGGGAGTGGTCCTGCCTCAGTGTGCAGTGGGCCTTTCATCATTCAGAAGCTGATTTTTCTCTTTTATGGGAAAACTAGGTCTTGCTTCTTTCTTCCTTTTTCAACCTGGTTTTGGTATGTTTTATTTCCCATTTATACAAAGAATGCAGCTGTTTTCTATAGAACTAATGGCTTTCATGTCAAAAAAAAAAAATGGACTGTGATATTCCTTGTACTTTAGTACCTTTTACTTTATAATCTATTTGAGGTCCTTTCCTGTTTTGTTTTTGTACCCTTAAAAGTACAGCAGTTATTTCGTGCCTGTTAAATTCTAGTATGTCTCTTATCTTTTGTCCCTGTTACATAATATCTCTTATATCTTATCTTTTGTCCCTTTTACATTATATCTCAAAATAAGTTTCTTATTTCACTTACCTGACAGTTCCTGACTTCAAAAACATACTTTCCATTGAAGAAGTGATTTATGTAAAAAACATGGTCTAACAGGATACACATTTGTATTCTAATGTTGCTATAACCGTGAGTCATTTTCTTCAAAGAGATAAATTTGTTGTATTCGTAATTAAAAAATTACAGAATAATTGTGTTACTCTTTTAGATGAGATTGCTAAATACATGGAAACAGTGAAATTACTGGACTATGCCGAGAAACCTCTTTATCAGAACTTGCGAGACACTCTTCTGCAAGGACTGAGAGCTATAGGAAGCAAGGATGACGGCAAACTGGACCTCAGCCTCGTGGAGAATGGAGGCTTGAGAACAAAGTCAATAACGAAGGTGAATTTTGTCCCTCAGTTATCCTTTGGCTTCCTGTGATGGTAATTGTAACAAACACTAATTTTAGGGAAATAAATCAGTAAAGAAAAGTGTGGCAGATTGCTTGGCAGTTACATATCTGTCACCGTTAGGTAAAGGAACATTCTTTATGAGACATGAAAGATGTAGACGGTTGTAGAAGAATAGATAGATATCTTTTTCTTTCGTCCGGTAGCAAGTTTGTAAATTCCTGGAGGAGTCTAACTTGGCATATTGACATCTGGCAGGGCGATTTGGATGGGGCACTCGATTCATGGCGTGGGTATTTTTTCCTTCCAGGCTACCTAGAAGGGATGGTCTTGTCTATTAGCTCTTCCTCCTTTGTTGGTGGGCTCAGAGCGTTTATCATTTGAAAATTGGTATTTGAAAGTTACTATTTGAAAATTAGTGTTTGAAAGTTACTGTGTGAAAATTAACATTCAAAGGTTTCCTTGTTTGGTGGTGTTTACCATTTGAACGTTATTTTGCTCTTTATAGAAATATTATATAAAACTATATCTGCATATAAAGAGGTTAATTTATCGGAGAGATAGGTTAACAGTGAACTTTATGGGCAAATTATGGTGCAGGATGTAAATAACTCCTGGTATCCTTTAAAATTTAGATTTTACAGGAATGCACTAACTTATTGGTTATTATTAATAGTTAAATTATTGATTAACTCAGAGATTTCCTTGATAGTTTGAAATTATTGAATAAAACGTGCTAGCTGCTTTTAAATGGGAAAGATCTACTTTTAGAAGAAAAAAAATATATATATTTTAAAGATTTCATTTATTTATTTGAGAGTGGCAGTATGAGAGAGAGAGCACAGGGAGGGGGAACTGCAGAGGGAGAGGGAGAAACAGGCTCCCTGCTGACGCGGGGCTCAATCCCAGGATCCTGAGATCATGGTATAAGCTGAAGGCAGAACAACTGAGCCACCCAAGTGCCCCAGAAAAATATTTTTTCTACAATATTGACTATTTTTACTGTCATTGACTCTGTAAATTCCAGTAGATTCCTTTGGAAATCTTGTATTCTGAGCTATGAGAAAAAGGGTTTAAAAACAAATTTTCTGTCTTTAAAATAAGAAGCAGCATTATTAAAAGGTTTCTGTAATTCTTTTTAACTTAGAAAGGAGATGGGAATTTTGAAATTGTATTTTGAATTTTACTTTTTGGCAAATAATTGGTATTTTTGTAGTTCTGCTCCAAAATCTGAATTAGACACATACATCTACATCTACATTTTTTTTTTCTTTTGTAAGTTTTGTCTTAATTGCATCGCTCCATTTTTGTGGTCAACAAGTGTACTGAGAGCCACATCCAGCTCTGAAATGAAGAGGATAAAATGGCAGCCCGAGTGGAACTTTTCAGTAAGGAAGTGGACTTAGAGTTTGCATGTCTGTATAAACATACAGCATGGATCTTCGTGCTCAGGACAGATTTCTGTGCATTAATATTTATAGGTAGCTTTTGTGGTGTTTTCCTCTAAAATTTTGCTGATTGAGCTGTGAAGATCTCTGCTGCAGTGAGAACTTGTCCAGTGCCATACCCCCTTACTTTGCAGATCACTGTTATTTGGACTTACATGCTGGAGAAAATTTGGTTTCTGCAGCTTGGCTGACTTTATAGCTGAATAGGTCAGTCTGCTGCAGAGCTAACATCTGTGACCTGACAATTCTCCTGTGTCCTTGGGTAGTTCAGAAGGCTGAAAATTTTCTGCTGGATCATCCCCTACGTGTATAAAGCTTTATTTAGAGGGGGAAAAATAAATAACAACTGAACAAATTTCCTTTATTAGTTTACTGTCCCCTCTCCTCCCCATAGCTGACACAGGGCTATTCTTTGTATTAAAAAGAAGTTGATAAAAGTTAAGATTAGGTAAGATCATGAAGCTGCTTGATGGTTATGTAACTGGAGGTGAGTTGGTAATTTGGTGGCCTTTTGTCTTGCATTTTAATGTGAAAGAGTTGGACCAGGCCAGTTTTCCTTTTTAAGGGTTAGTTTGTTTCTTTCTTTTCTTCTTCTTCTTCTTTTTTTTTTTTTTTTTTTCCAAAAGCCCCAGAACATTTTCTTCAAATAAATTGTAAATACTCCACATTTAAAGCAGGTAAAAGCAGAGCTCCACCAACTGAGAAGTCAGGGGCTCTCTGCAAGGAAAAGCTTTTCCTTTGATAAGTTAGTATTCCCTCTCTCTCTTTTTTTTTTTTTTTTAAAACAAGGGTAGTATAATCAAGATGTCGTTTTTTGCTCTGGTTGCTAGGAAGCTCAAGGGTTCATTATGATGCTTAATCAGAAATTGTATTAATCCTTATAATTAGCATATATTCTCCTTTCCTTTTGTCATGATTTCTTAAAACTTTCTAAATATATGTTCTTTGTATTTATGACACTCAAATCTCTTTCAGAAAGGAGGGATAGTTTTAATCAATTCAATAATTATTTCTCTTTATGTTTCTGAGTGTTGTCCATTATGGTAAAAACCTATGAGAATTAATTAGCAGTGGACTGAAACAAGGTTTCTATCCATTTTTAAATAGCCATGCTTGATTATGGTACAGTAAATTTGGAAACTAGAGTGAACTGTGAATTTACGACTTGGAAATATTTTCAGCCTCAGTAGCCCAAGAGTTTTATTTAAAGCACAGGATATTGGGATGACATAAGGCTGAAGTAGAAAAAAACTAAGTATCAATCTACCCTTAGGAAGTACATAGCCAAAGATTTTCATTGTTGATTAGAACTGAACACTTGCATTAGAATTGGGCAGTCTAGTTCCAGCAGTTATTGGATTCAGTGTGTACTCTTAAACCAACATTCAACAATGTAAAGGTCTAATTTCTGTACCTGGTCTAGGCTAGGTCCCTGGGGCTATAAAGATCAATAGCATGTAGTTCCATCCTTAAAGAATTCCTCCCTGTCTCATCTGGGTTAAGAACAGCTTAATTTACTGGAAAGAACTCAGCAAGTTAAAAGGACATTAATACCTCCATTAGCTATTTTCTCGTAAGGTTTTGATTAAGTTGCTTGGCCCAAGCGGACAAAAAGGGCTGTTCATTAGATTTCTCGGGCTCATCCCTGGGGATTCATTGAGTAGGTCTGCAGTGTGGCCCTGCGATTTGCATTTTCTATTTTCAGACAGTATATGCTGTTGTTTCCTATGAATGACTCGCACATTCCCTTCTCTCCACTCCGTTTTTTAGTTCTTTTAAGTTATATTATGCTAGCTGGCCTTCCTAGAGTTTCTCTGAAAAATGATTAACCATTAAATAAATCCCTGCTGGCACTCAGCCTGGAACATGGTACAAAGAGACAAGTACTAGTAAAGGCCTTCCCTTGCCGACCAGTGGCCTGTGCTGCTCTGGCGGACAGCTTCCTGTCTCTTGAGGAGACGGCTCCCCGTGCAGCCGGTAGTTTCACTTAGATAGCCTCGGATAAACCTTGGGAATTTGATGGAAGTCTAACTTTGGTTAGCACGCTAGAATAATAGAAACAGTATTTTCCTTAGATTAATTTAGATGGTTGAAGTCGAGACGTTTCTTTCTGTTTTCTGATGGGGATTTAGCCTTAGTTTTCTATGCAAGAGGATTCATTGTTTACTAATGATTCTTTCCTTAGGTGCTTGAGCTCTCTATTTTAAAGCTTGTTTTATTTGGCTGGATTTTGTCAGGTAGCTTTTTTCCCCTATGTATATACATATTTTGAAAGATTTTATTTATTTATTTGTCAGAGAGAGAGAGAGAAAGCTTAAGTGGGGGGAGCAGCAGGCACAGGGGGGAAGCAGGCTCCCTGCTAAGCAAGAAGCTTGATGTGGGACTTGACCCCAGGCCCCCACAATCATGACCTGAGCCAAAGGCAGATGCTCATCTGACCAAGCCACCCAGGCATCCTTTTTCTCTTTATTTTTAAGTCAGATTATGACATATGTACAGAAAAACGCACAAGTAAGTGTGCAGTGTGAACTTTATAAAGTGAGTGTACACATTTAAACATCCCCCAGATCAAGAGCCCCAGAAACCTCTCTCAGGCCCCCTCTTGGCCTTATCCCTTCATTAAGAATAACTAGTGTTTTAACTGACAACACTGTAAAGTAATTTTGCCATTTAAAGAAAATTCATAGTAGTAGCACCATACAATGTGTACTTTTATTGGGTCTGGTTTTTATTCATTATATGTCTGAATTTCTATGCTGTTGTGTGCAACAGAAGTTTTCTATGTCTTATTACTGTTTAGTGTGGCACTCCATTATGTCAGTACGTCATAATTCCTTTATCTCTTCTGTTGGTGGACGTTTATACTGGTTCCGGTTTCTGGCAGTTGTAGTAATGCTGGTTAAGAACATTCTTGTAATTTCTTTTGGGAACTGCATGTATTTATTTCAAGTGGGCTCTATCCGTGGCAGAAGTACTGGGGTAGAGGGCTTACTTACTTACTTACTTACGTTTAGCTTTCGTAGGTGCTGCAAGCAGTTTTTCCCAGCAGCTGTCCTAGTTGATGCTCTCACCACCAGCTTATGAGAGGTTCAGTTGCTTGTCAACACTAGATGTTGCGTTATATTTAATTTTATCCATTTTGGTAGATGTGTACTGGTGTTTCTTTGTGGTTTTAATTTAATCTCCTTTATAATATTGATTTTGAATACTTTTCATATGCCTCCCCGTCTCCATTGCCCTTTTTCTGTAAGGTGCATTTCAATTCTTTTGTTCATTAAAAAGGGGGAGGTTGTCAGTTCTCTTTTGATTTGTCAGACTTGACTACTTTGTACATATACAATCTATGTATTACACATATATATATATATTTTTTTACAGTTGGTAGTTTATTTTTTCATTCTGTTAATGTGGTAATATCTCTTGATGAACAGAAAGTTCTTTGTTTTAGTGAAGCCTAATATATCAATCTTGTTTATGGTTAGTATTTTGTATTCTATCTTGGGAAAATTTTGTCTACCAAGATCGTGAAGATATTCTGTTATTA